TTTTTTTCGAGACAGGGTTTCTCTGTGGCTTTGGAGGCTGTCCTCGAACTAGCTCTTGTAGACCAGGCTGGTCTCGAACTCACAGAGATTCGCCTGCCTCTGCCTCCCGAGTTCTGGGATTAAAGGTGTGTGCCACCAATGCCCTGCGAGTTCTTTATATATTTTGGAGATCAGCCCTCTGTCAGATGTGGGGTTGGTGAATATCTTTCCCCAGTCTGTGGGCTGTCGTTTTGTCTTGCTGGCTGTGTCTTTTGCCTTATAGAACCTTCTCAGTTTCAGGAGGTCCCTTTTATCAATTGTTGATCTCAGTATCTGTGCTACTGGTGTAATATTCAGGAAGCAGTCTCCTGTGCCAATTAATTCAAGGGTATTTACTACTTTGTCTTCTAATAGGTTCAGTGTGGCTGCATTTATATTGAGGTCTTTGATCATTTTGACTTAAGTTTTGTGCATGGCGATAGGCTTGGGTCTATCTGCAGTCTTCTACATGTCTGCATCCAGTTATGCCAGCACCATTTGTTGAAGATGTTCTCTTTGTTCTATCATATAAATTTGGATTGTTTGTCAAAAATCAGGTGTTCATAGGTGTGTGCTTAGTAACTATTTTAAATTGGGAGTATAAAAACTAGTTGCTCTTATTTTTGATGCATTTTTTCTCTAGTAGTCCTTGGAAATGAACTTTCGATTAAAATATCGTATAGTACCATTTCCACACTCTGTGTGTAGAATTAGTTTCTTTATCTCTTTCTGATTCACTTGAAACTTGGTTTAGTATTAATTATCCTCTTTCTATTCCCTCCATCACTGGCAAGTCAGATGTCAATTTTCAAGTTCTTAAAAATGCTACCTTTGCATTGTGACAGTGTTCACCTCACCCTTATTTCTTCAGTCTATTCTTTCCAGATGTCATTGTATCTCTGTCCTAATACAGAAGGTACACTTTGATAGATATAAATCTGAAATATCTCTGTGGCTTAATGTCCCATGTCCAGCAGTAAACAGCCAACAGAAAACAAACTCAATGGGTTTTTGGGAGGATTTTGTTTTTTGTTTTGTTTTTTACTTCATAGGCTTTTAGCTCATATACCATGGTTTCTGATTTTGTGTTTTTATGGGGTTTCTCATGTATTTGTTGATGAGTCTGTATATAGTTCTGTGCTTTGTCTTTGACTTTTTTATTTGTTTTTCTCCATTCTAGTTTTTATTTCATTGTATTTTATGTTTAGATGCCTGTTGCTTTTCTAATGAGAGAGAAAGAAAGGGTGAGAATTTGCATGAGTGGGGAGGATCTGGCAAACCATGTTCAGAATGTAGTATATAAAAATATTTTTCAATAAAAATAAATAAAATAAGGCACCTGTGTGGGAAGCCATTAGTCTTCCCCAAGGAGATGCTCTCTAACTGATCACTCAATACCAAGTGGCCTTCCCTCTAATCACAGGCACACAACAATGTGAAATGGACAGCAGGTTGGATTTATGTACACATATATGTAACAATAATAATTAAATAAAAAGAGGCCATGAATTTGAGAGGAAGTGAATAGGGGGTATGAGAAGAGAAGGAAAAAGGAAATGATGTTTATATTTTAATTTGAAAAAATAGCAAAAAACAAAAATACCTTCGATGAAAAAAAAAAGGACAGCCAAAACAAAGTTTTGCTATTGAAAGGGGATGGCAAGCTCACTCTATGTGTTCAGTGGTACCCTGGGCATAAGAAGGTTTTTAGAAGACTAATTAATATCTTGGAAGCAATGGGTTAGGCAATAGTGTCTAAAGTACCCCATGCACAGATGTGAATGTTCTGACCAGCCTAAGGCATAAAGATATAAAAGGTTCTTACATGAACTGGTGGAGACCATGCAGTAGTAAGACTTGAGAGCCTGAGTTTCCAGAAGCTGTCATGACAAGATACCCTGTGGTAACAGTTAAGGTTGAAGCTCAATATATCTACAGAACTCCTGAGATCTGAGGAGGTCATCAACTCCATTCTCCAAGGACAACCACAGATTGTTCATGCTGACACAATAGAGTTGATATCAGCTAATCTAAATGCCCATTATTTGGGATAATTAATACAACAAATAAACTTTGACAAGTAAAACAACACAAAACAGAATAAAAGCATACAGGAGTCAAAGTTTTTCTTAAGAAGCCAGATGAGCAGGAAGAGAGACAATGTAAAAACTAAAAGTAGGACAGGAGGAGGGCATACAAAGAGAAGCTGCCTTCCACCAATATGTGTGGTACGCATACATTGAACCAGCACACTGGATCCCATTAATGTGTGTAATAAATACATAACTAACACAAAAGGAAACCTAAAGAACAAAATAATAATAAAGCAGACAGAAATGTGTTCAAGGAGTTTATATGTTAGCCACTGAAAGTTTTTCAATAAGTGGAATAGGTTGAGTAACACTAAATTCATCACAGAACATGAGCTTCTCAGGCTTCTGACTTTGGGACAGACGCTAGTTTCCACTCAGTCTGTTTCCTGTGCTGAACAATGTGAATTCCTCTGGACCCTCACACGCTAAGAGTCATGTGCATGGTGCACTTAAGGACAGCATTTGCCACAAACAACTCACTGCTAAATGTCCATTCTATCCTGAAGTAGTGAAAAAGTGCGGAGGCATATTTTAAATTGTTAAAGTATTCACAAGGACTGATTAAATAATCAGTGAAAGATATAGCAGAGTGTTCACATCACAAAATTAGTGGAGTGATTTGTATTGATATGACAAGCTCTTCTAGATGTACTGCAGAAAAGCATATGGAGAAGCTGGAATGACACTGGAGGGTTTTGAGTGGGTGAAGGAGAATTTTGTCTCTTTAAAGGTTCACCATGCAAATAGAGAAGAAAGCATCTATGAAGAAAAAATAGAGAGAGAAGTATCCCAGATGAGCCTGCATGGCTGTGACTGACGTTGCAGCACAAACAACTAAACCTCATTAAACCCACTCCCCTGTCACAGCCTTCTCCAGTTTTTCTCCATTCACCCATGAATGTTACCTGCACTCTGCGTTTACACTGCATAGATGACCAAATGACCTTATCCTTACTTTCTGTTCTCTTATTAGTTTTCCAAATTTGAAACTAGACTCTATTTTGAGCATCCAGACAACATACAAAGGCATCCAATTTACTGTCATTAACTTTGTGTTACATACCACTATACAAACACGTGGTCATATTTACTTGGAATGTAATTTTTATTTAACAAGGTATTATATATGTAAGTGTGTAACAGCAAAATTAATAGAACTTGAAGGAAGGGGGGAATGAATGAGAATATATTGATTTTAAAGAGAGAGGGGATGAAATTATATTGATTTGGGAGTAGTACAATTTTTGACATGACATTTAACCCAGACCTTTCATTACTCATTTTGGGGTGCAGCTCTCCGTCTGAGCCCTCTTTTTAGGGCGCCCTTAACCTCTTTGTTACGAAGACTGTAAATAAAAGGATTCAAGGTCGGTGTGACCACTGCATAGACCACACTGGCCAGGCGGTCATAACGAGCTGAGTAGGAGGATGAGGGCCTGAAGTAGACAGAGAGGACAGAGCCAAAGAAAAGCGATACCACCACCAGGTGCGCCCCACAGGTGGAGAAGGCGCGGCGCCGACCTCCCGTGGTCCTCACTCCAAGAACTGCCACAAGGATGCGAGCATAGGAAAGGGACACAAGGAGCAGCGGGGTCAGCACCACTGCCAGGCCCTCTGAGAAGATAGCAGTCTCTGCCACTGATGTGTCTGAGGTCGCCAAGCTCAGCATCACTGTCATGTCACAAAAAAAGTGGTGCACTGGGGCAGAGGGTGGGTAGGAGAGTGCAGAGATGAGCAGTGTGTGCAGCAGCGAGTGCAGATGAGCCACAGCCCAAGATGCAGCCACCAGGGCAAGGCAGCGCCAGGGTGTCATGACTGTACCATAGTGCAGTGGCCGGCACACAGCCACAGCACGGTCGTAGGACATGGCTGCCAGGAGGTAGCTCCCCTACAAAGAAATACATCTGGGCAAAGCAAGCCTGGAAGGACACGACCTGGACAGGATGTATCAGAGTGGCCAGCAGTCTTGGGACAGTGACTGTGGTAAAGCAGACATCCACAAGGCTCAGGTGACCCAGGAAGTAATACATGGGGGAGCACAACGCCCCATCACACCTCACCAGCACCACCATGCTCAGGTTGCCGAGGGCGTTAAGCAGGTAGATGCTAAGGAAAAGCAGAAACAGCAGCGGGTGGGCATCTGTGCCATCCATTAAGCCAAGGAGCTGGAACTGTGATCTGTATGTGAGGTTGGACACAGCCATAGAGGTCAGGTACCTGTGTAGATGCTGAAGAGAGAGATTAGACAGGAAGCTTAAGATCTCAGACTCTCAGATAGGCTTTCTGAGCCTTAAAAATAATTTTTAAACTACAAACAGTATTTAAAATCTATTTGCTGTTTGGCCTGAATATTTGTGTATGCCACACACGTGCCTGAGGAGCCAGAAGAAGGCATCTGATCCCCTAGAATTGGAGTTAGAGATGGTTGTGAGTTGCCATATGGGTGCTAGGAACTAATCCGTGGTCTTCTGGAAGAGCAGCCAGTGCTCTTAACTACTGAGCTATCCCCAGATGATTTTTTTCTTTCTTTTTTCTTTTTTCTTCTTTCTTTTTTTATTTGAATTACAAACAAGATTGAATTACATGACAATCCCAGTTCCCTTCTCCCTCCCCTCTCCAGATGATTTTTAATGCTATATATTTACATATGTTTCTGCTTGCTAAAGTGGATTGAAAACCATATTACTCACCCAATAATCCTAATTTTATGAGGGAACTTAATTTTGGAAGTGTGCTTTCTAGGAGAAAGGATAAGGATTCCCAACCTACTAGAGCAAGTCAGACCTGATTCCCAGGCCTGGGTGAGCCTCTCTGCCACCAAAGGCAGTGTGACCTCTCTGAGCTTCGATCTCTTCTTCTTAATGAGAAAAATACAGTTGTCCATTCCTGGGGTTGATTGGGTAGATAAAGAGATGAGTTTAAAATTCTTAGTAGGTGCCCAGCATGTAATAAATGTTCACAACTTTTGTACTTTGGTCTAGTATATAATTCTTCCTGGAGAGACTGGGAAGAGTCCATAGGAGAATGGCCTGAATTGGGTCTTTGGGAATGGGCCAGATTTCAGCAAACAAAACTGTTGTTGCATGGGAGTGAGGAGAATTCCAGACAGTGGGAAGAGGGTACTTGGGCTGTTGGTATAGGAAGAAGAGAGTGAAACACCCACAGATGGCACTGTCCGAAACCTGCCCTTGCTCTGAACTTGGCTCATAAAATCAGTTGGACAAAAAAAAAAACTTTAAAATTTCAGAAATATACTCTCATTTGTGCCCATTCAACATCTTCTCTAAAGTCCCACACACTTTCCCCACATTGCTCTGAAGTTGCTAAAACTGTCCTATGACTGAACTGACCTGCAGACCAAGTGCCAAGAGAAAGGATCAAGTTTTTGTGTGGTCCTGGAGGATAATGGGACAAGGAACTGTCAGGAAAGAGCCACATTTCACCGCCCTGTCCAGAGATCTGAGCACAGTTTATCTGATTATAGCATCTTGACTGAAGCATTTTGCAGACCAGAGAGTGAACACAGAGGAGAATGGACAGTGAAAGAGAGGGAATGATAACCAGTCAATCAACCACCAGGGCAGTCTCTGAAGCCTGAGCATTCCCTACCTTTTCACTTTTCTTCCTCTGTCATTGTTACTTATGAACCATCCTGGGGAACTTGCTTTCTAAGATCCTGAAAACCAAGTCAGTACCTTGGCACCCCTCCACTCCATCCATTGTTTGTGTCAGTGCCAGGCCTTTCTTCCTAACCTCTCCCTTAGGTGTGCATATGGTGCTACAGAAAAAGCACGGCTTTGAAATCAGAGATGCCTGGATTTATCCTGATTGGCTGTGTAATCAGAGCCTCTTTCATTTAGTCTCCATTTTCCTGGTCTATAAAATGAGCATATTGATTCCTCTCTTAGATGCTTAATGGTAATATTAAATGAGACAGTGCACTATGAGGATTAAGCAGGGAGCAGATGCTGGGGAAAGTTCCCTTTCCCCAGTACCTGATGGCATCTTTCTGTCCTCTGGTTGGTTTCCAGTGGTTTCTCAAGATAGATCAGTCTGATACTGAAAGGTTATAGTCTTTTATTTTGTTTCTTAAATAGAGCTGAACCTAACTTCCATGTAACTACTACAAATAGTTCCAATTTTGTGTGTGTCAAGCTGGCTTTCTCTATAGATTTTTACCTGGCAGTTAAAAAAAAATCTCATCTATGTCTGATAAGTCATCTTTCTTTAGCTCAAATTGCCTGAGATCCAATCTTAAAGGATCCGATTTCCATGTCCTTTTCATTCTGGTCATTCTTGGCTTTGGGCATGTCCTTAACAGAAGCAGACACTGTGTACAGCTGGGGTTGAGCACTGTGGAGTTTTCTGGGGCAGTATAATGGCTCATCCATATAGTTCCTGCCCGTTTATTAGCATTTTATGCAGGTCAAGCACTGGATTGAATCCAGGCACCAAAGCTGAGTTAGCCAGTGACCTTAACCTCAAGCAATGCAGAATGTAGTAAAACCCACCTTAAATGCCAGTATCAAGTAGAGGTGCCTTCCTCTGGCTGGCTGATTTAGGGGCGATTCCAGAGGAGACATGAAGTTGAGGTTTACTTTCGAAGCATAAGTAAACCACCAGAAACATAGACTCATAGGAGTGGGAAGAGCATTGGCAATAAGGGAAGGAGAATGCAAAGACACAGAAAGATGATTTGTGGGAGGCCAGAAGCTCAAATGTGCTTTTTCCCCCAATGCCATGTAGAGTGGGTGGTGATGAGGCAGAGAGGAAGATAAAACACAAGGCAAGAAGAGCAGGGATGTGTTGGGTTCACTCACCAGCAGGCTGCACTCCAGATCTCAACACTGTCTGCAGTGTCTGAAGGGTGGTCTGCCTCCTGGCCAGAGCTCCTCCCCAGTCTTGAGGGTAGATGTATTGGCTTCCATCCTGAGATAAAGTCCCAGGGATTTCAGTGAGTTTCCTGTGCTCTAGAGAGGGAAATCCAGAGCAGTAAGGGTCCTGGGCATTCCTCCAACCCAGCTTTCTCGCTGGCCAGCTCCTGTATCACTCACTGGAGACAGTGAGCATGGCTCAGGATGCTGCATGTAGCTTTCCAACATGACTCCAGAATTCTAATCCAGAACTTTCTCCTTCCCCGGAGGCCAGCCTGGTTGGCCTTTCCAATGCTTCTAGATTTTTTCTCACAAGCCATCCCAGCATACTCTCCCCTATCCAAAACACCATTCCTACCCTATTTCACCAGGACAACCTAGCTTCTGTCCACCCTCAAAAGCCAGACACCATCTCTGAACCTCTGCATCTCCCTCGATTGCCTCTCTCCCTTCTCTTCTAGCTCTTATTTACACCCAGAACTCAGTTGATGATTTTTTTGTTGTGCTGCTTATCTTCCCCTGGATGATAAACCTTCTAAACACACATATCAATTATCTTTTCACAAATGAACTTTCCAGGACTTTGTCTTAATTCTCTTGGAAATCTGGGAAGGCTCCCCAGAGGAGGTGGCATTTGATCAGGGCCAGCTTGAAACCATTCAGCAAACTGACAATGGTGGACAAGTTTTTAATAGGAAATTATAAGGGGAAGTTTAAGGAATTTACTTGATCTCTTTGAGCTACATTTTTTTTCTTCCCTCTTAAAGTGGAATAATTAAGAGCCAGGAATGGTGGCCCATGCTGAGTAAGGAGAATCACTTCAGTCCAGGAGTTTGAGGAAAGCCTGTGTAACATAGTAAGACTCCATCAACACACACACACACACCTGTGGGTTTCTCCAGGTGTTTCTGTCTACTTCGTTGAATCTCTTTTCTTCCCAAACAACACCAATTTTTCTCTCAACAGGATCCACATAGCCTTCACTTCAATGGTAAATTTAGTTTCTACCCCAGGATAAGCCCTTTCTATTCCAAAGACAACTGTCTCTCTTCTTCTTCCCTGTCAACTCCTCAATCATTTCATCTCAGCAATTCATTCAACAATCTCAACCATTGTATCTATTCCATGCCAGGCAGAAACTTGAGCACTAGACAAGGAGGTCATTCCTGAATGAAGAAGACATAGTCAGAGGGCTAAACTTCCTGTTTTGTCACTACGCAAGTGGCAATGAGTTTTAGGTGTCTTACCCAAAACCATGCTCCAAACTTGGGGACCAATGTCCAGAGAACACTGCATCTGAAGTCATTCTGCAATCTGGGGACCAGACAAAATTCCAGTCACAGACTTTGAAACCTGGCAATCAATCAGCCCACCCCTGTGCTGTCTGCCATGCATTGACAGGCACTTATGTATCTTCTCCCTTCCTGTGGGTGCCTGACTTGTCCATATTACCTTTCTACCATTCTATCCTGTCCCGTTGCCTATGCAACCCCTCACCTGTGAGTGTGCCCGGGTTGAGCCCTGTAAAGCACAGACTGAGGCTGGTCCACCTGCAGCAGGACCTTCACAGAAGATAAGCTCTGGAGAGACAGGTTTGTTTCCACAACCCATGGTGAAAGGAATGGCATGGGACAACCCATGGCATGCTGGCTAGGAATGAATGAGTCACCAGCTGATTATCTGGGAAACACTATGAGATCACTGTGTCCTCCATAACCTTTTTCCCATGAGGACTCTGAACTTCAGTCAGCCTAATGTCCCCTTTACTGTACTGCTATGGAAAGGGAGTGGGGGAAGAAACCGAAGTGTCTGAGAATCCAGAATTGAGATAATGCCCCTTGACATGATGGTGGCTATGTTGGCCCCATATTCAGTGGCTTATGCTCTTACCTGCCTCCTTCTCAGAAAGATGGCCTAAGGTGGGCAGGGCTGGTAAAAGATCAACAAACAAAGGACACTGTCCTCCTCTTCCTGGCTTTTCCCTACATCTCTAATAATAAAATTTCCTGGAGGAGATTCTCCTGACCCTGCTATGAGGAAATCAGGACAGTGTCCCTGAGGGACCGCCTAGAGGCCAGTCTCCCAGCACAGAACTGGAAGTACTTCCCCAGCCCCAGATGGTGGTGCTTCCCCCGACCCTGGTGATCTTGTCTCACCTAGAAGTGGAGGGTAGAAGGAGAGGCTGGGGTTACTGCAGAGTTCCCAAGGCAGATCTGGATCAGGGCAGTAGGTCCCTGTGCCCTGTGTAAAGCTGTTCACCATAGTCTTGAGCTTTGTGGTTCTCTCACTCCATGGTGAGATGGGAGATGCTGATATCACAACCCTGTCCT